AAGCAAAATATTTCAAAGCCTCCAGGAATCCCAGATCTGAAACACTTTTGATTCCCAGTCCTTTCAATGAAAGGTATCTGACTGTAATAATGATAACGAGATCCAGCGTTGTGGCACAGTGTGATAAGAGTCTATGTCTATGGCTGCTCCAAAAATAATAACGCTAGTTCAGCCCCTCACGGCTCCACCTCTAATCTGGTGCACCTGGGAAAGAAGCAGGTGACAGCCCGGATTCTCAGGTCCCTGTCATCCACAAGGGAGACCCAGCTGAAGCTCCTAGCCCTGAGTCTTGCGACCCCGAGAAGTGAATGGAAGACCTCTGTGTCGCTCCCTCTCCATACTCTGCCTTTCAAATAAATAAATTTCTGGAGGAAAAAAAAATTAGTTAACAAGCATGCCAATAAAAGCAGTGATGATCATGAGTTTGCCGAGTGCTTTATGCACATTTACTCATCTGAACTTGTAAAGCGTTCGTGTGAGAGAAGAGCTTGTTAGCCCTTTTTTTAGAGATCTGGAAATGAGGCTTAAGAGGCATGAACTCATTTCCCCTGATGTTAGTCATGCAAAAGCACCCCCGAGTCTGAAGCTCAGAGGTGCCCAAAACTTTGTGGTGTAGGTGAACTCCTGGAATACTTGGCTCATGCAGACCGAACGTGACACCCCCGTCCCGAAGCCCAGGAGGTGCAACCTAAATCTCCCACATAAGGGGGCAGGAACCCAGTTATTTGAGCCATCCCCTGCTGCCTTCCAGGGTCTGTGTTACAAGGAAGCTGGGGCCAGGAGCCAGGGCTGCCTATGAACAACAGCAGGCCGAGTGACATGTAACCACTGATTCCCAACACCTGCTCCTGAGCCGTAACTTGCGAGCAGGATTGTTAACATTAAATGGGGGTTGATTGGAAAACCAAAGCAGGCACAGCACATCAGGCCAGGCAAGACTGCATGCACCTGTGGTCTCGGCCGCTAAGCCTTCTGGGAAGGAGGAAGGCTCAAGCTCAGGAGTTCCAGGTCGTGACCCATTATGCTGCTCGGCCGATCACACTAGCTCTGGCATCAGCCTGGTGACTTCCTGGGAAGCCTAAGACCACCAGCTCAGCCAGATTTAAGGCAGAGCAAACTAAAGGGGAGCAGGTTGGAGACCTTGGTTAAAACCCCCTGCATGTATCAGAAGACCTCATCCAGGCCAGCCCAGCAGGAATTCCTGCCACCGGCACTTCTGGTTTAGAGGATTCCAGTGGGAGAAACTGCAAGGTAGGTGCAACTGTATTGTCCTTTGGTACATGTCCAACACATTATTCTCAGAGTCAGAACCAGGAAAGTGTCCGCAATGGACCTTGAAGGGATATGGGATACGGAGGCCCCTACTCCTCCCACGAGAGGCCTAGGAGCTTAGGGGCCAAGGCTGCCTGAAGCCTACAGCCCGTGGGGTAAAGTCTCATGTCCTCAGGAATGCTGTCAAGCTGGCAGTCTTTCCCTGGAGTAAAGCCAGTTGCTCATGGCTCTGGCTCTGCAGGAGTCATACTCAGGGGTGCAGGCAGCCGAGACCCCTGAGCACCGAGGCAGGAGGGCCCGTGTTGGAAGTGCTCCGGTGCCTTTTCTGTGGCTCAGGTGTAAAGAATGTTCCACTCGTCTGGATGGAGCTCAGTTCCCATTTCCCCTCTGCACGTTCCCGTGTGCAAGAAATGGTTTGGCCAAAGTCTAACAAGTTTATGCATGAGATCACACCTGTCATAGACCTGGGCCTGGCTGTGTTGTCTTGGGTCGATTCTATGAGTTGCACAAAAGGTAATTTAACCCGGAGGCCTTCCCTGCAGCGAGGCCCTCAGAGGCAGGGTGAAGTGTTATCTATGAACCATAGGAGGCTGTCCGTATCCACACGGGGGAGCAGCTCAGAGCCCGTGCCCTGGAACCCGTGCCGAGGACTTAGCATACGGTCCTGACCTCCCCCCCTCTGCACCTGCTTTAACTTTGGCCTAATGCCGGTACCTCTCTGGGCCACCACCTCCTTCAGCTGTATCAACAGCACAACTCCCAATCTGTGAGGCTCCATAACTATTCACTGTTGTTGCAAGAAACCAAGTTTGAACTCTTTGAGACTCAGTTATCTAATAGTCATCATTTTATGGCCAGAAACCTTACTTCACACGAAGGTCAGAAAGCTCCCCACATCTGAAAGCTGTACCTCCATAAATATGATTCCAATCACAAAAGTATCAAAACTACAAGTGTTCATTTATAAATACCTCTCCAAAAACAGCCGGAGTATTTGATCTTCAGCATTACAAGAGCAAAAGGGATTATTATTTTTTTTTCCTCCTTTGGATCTGAGACCAAGGAGTATGCTCTTTCAGACAAAAGTATAAAGTCTGGCAAACTCTACAAAGAGCAAAGGGAAATCAAGCATGTCCCCCAAGGTTTCTGCCTGCAAGCCGTCTTTCCCACTGGGCTCGGTGACCTCATTTTTCAGCTGCAGATTCTGCTGAAAGGGTGAAAAAAAGAAGCCACGGGTAGAATTTGTTTTATTTTTGTGGTTGAAAGAAGACATAAACCCAGGGATTAAGGAGTGTAAAAGCTGGTTTAACTTCGACATATTCTAAACCACTGGGAGACAATAGTGGAGCCTGTTAAGACAAGGCATGGGCGATGTATTGATTTGCTTGTGATTTTTCTCAGCTGGAGGGCTGAACGGAGCGTCAATAAGAATTGGAAATTAAGACACCTGGGTTCAGATCCTAGCTTTGTAGTAGTTTTGGGACCCTTAGGATCGTCGTTAAATCCCCAGGAGACAGGAAAGCTCCTAACCCGGGTCCCCGGGCCCCTTCCAGTGGTCCCCATCCTCCACACCAAACCAGCCAGATCGCTTCCAAATATAAATGACTCCCAGCTTTACGTCCTCACCAGCACCTTGTTTTCTACCAGATAAAGGCAGAACCTGGACAGACTCTGCCCTGGGACTTGTCTCTTCTGCACTCTGCCCCAATGCCACTGCCTTACTTTCCCACTCAAGAGCCCTCCACCACGGGGCCTGGGTACATGCCCTATCCTCTGGGGTTGGGAGGCTTTGCTCTCTGTTTGCCTGCTTAGTTCCCACCAACCTTCCAACTTCAGCTCAGCGTTGACTTCTCTTCTAGCTGCTATGGTTGTGAGCAACCCCCCCACCAAAAAAAAAAAAAAAACTTGGCCATCGCAAGGCAAAGTCTATTTCTCTGTCTTACAACTCTGCCGTGTAAGCAGGGCTCAGAGGGGGGAAAGACTGTTTCTGCTCCGCCCAGCACTAGCTGGTGATTCAAAGGGCCCATTTCCAAGATTGCTCATTCATGTAGATGGCAAGCAGGAACTGGGCACCAGGTAAGAGCCGGGTTCCTCTCCCTGTGGGCCTCTTGGTGGGCTCCCGGCTTTTCCTCACCACATGGCTGCTGAATGCTGCAAGTGAGCGTTCCCAGGACACAGAGAGGAAAGGCTGAGAACCCCTGGAGCCCTACCTCACATCACCTCCAGCACACTCCACGGCGTTAGCCAGTTACGGAGCCCAGAGCCAAAGGAAAATGGCTCTAGACGCACTTGTCAATTACAAGAGCATGGAAAGAATTAGGGAGCATGCTTTGACATGATTCCCTGACTTCCATAACCTTCACCAGTGAAATGGAAGCACCACATGCTCTCCCACAGAGCACCTGCCTCATGTCCTGTGTGTGTCACAGGCTGTGCTCCCTCCCCACACACACTCCTCTGTGAGTTCTGGGAGTGGAGGGGCAGTGTGTGTCACTCACTGCCACATCTGCAGCCCCTCAGCATGGAGAAGGTGTTCAGGGAATATTGGGAGGAGTGAATGGTCCAGGAAAGCCATGGATGAGCCCATCCATGGGAATGGGAGACTGCAAGGCATTAGGAAACGGGCAGGTGGCACGAGCTGGTCGTGGGGGTAAGGAATGAGGATCCAGGAAGGCAAGGATCTGGGGCAGCCCAGGAACCCCAAGCTTGGTGCAAAGACAGCAGCAAGCATCAGTCCTCAGCTCTGGCTTATTCGCTCTGGTAGAAACATGAGCCCAGAGTGACCAGCGCCTCACAGCACTTGAGAGACACAGCTTTTCCATTTTCATATAAACTTAAACTCTGAACTTAAAGCTATAAACAATTAGGGTTGAGGCATAGTGGGTAAAGCCACCACCTGTGATGACAGCATTCCATGCAGGTCCTGGTTCATGTCTCAGACATTCCACTTCAAATCCAAGTCCCTGATAATGTCCTGGGTTTTAGCAGCGGAAGATGACCCAAGCAGGAGACCTGGATGAAACTCCTGGCTCCTGGTTTTGATCTGGCTCAGGCATGTCTGTTGTGGCCGCTTGGGGAATGAAACAGTGGACAGAAGATGTCTTTTTGTCTTTCTCTCTCTCTCTGACTCTGACTTTTAAATAAATCTTTAAATACATACACACACATGTAATCCAATTGCCTGCAGACATAGTAGGCTAATTAAAACATGTCTTTGACTTGAATTTGGCCTTGGAGGTATATACATATATATGTATACACATATATATAGTGTGTATGTGCACATGTGTGTCAGTGTGTGAGATTCCTATGAAACAGGCTTACAAAAACAAAACAAAAAAACAAACTTTTTTTTTGGTAACTAAAATGACTTGCTTCTTGATGATGGTGGAAAACCATTGAAATGTGGTATTAGGTTGCTGTTAGAACATAGCCGTCAAGATTTCTTGTCTAATCCCTGGGGGTGCTGTGCTAGAACAGCTCACAGGCCACCTGTGGATCTTGTCTGCTCTTCACCCCTCCAGTAGAATGCGCCAGTGAGGGCAGGGGTTTTCCTGTGCTCATTCCGCAAACCCAGTCAAGTCCCCTCCTCGCTGAGCTGGAGGCGTTGCCTGGCAACCTGGCAGGTGCCCCTTAGATACAGCCCACCAAACCACAGCCAGAAAGGAAGGTGTTTGAAGCCGCCGCTCTGATTCGCTCTGTTCCCATATCTTCTGCTTTGCCTTCAGAGCTCACGAAGACAAGTTTAAGAAGCTGGGGGCTGGAGCAGTACGCCGCCCCTTCACCCCTGTCCATAGCTGTATCATCTCCTCCTGGCTCCCCGAGGCTCACGTGTAAGTACTCCCCACCCCCGCAAGTCCTTCGGCCCAGCTGACCCAGATACGGCCCGAGCTGAGCTGACTCCACAAACCAGAGCATCAGGGAGCCATTGAGCTCTTCATTTATCCTCTTGAAAGGGACACGAAGCCTCTGGAACATCAAAGCTATTTGGTGTCTTTAAAAAAAAAAATGACAGACACTAGACACAGTGGCTCAGAGCTAAGTGGCAAATCAGCTGGGATCGAGTCATTCCATTCCCTACGATGCCAGATGTCCTAATGCCAGATAGTTTGCAGAGTCTGACAAAGAATCCGTCTGCAGCCCTTGCTGAGTGCATTCAAGAACCTCTCAGCCAGAGACGGTTTCCTCCCACAACTCAAGGAGCAGTTTCCCTGTCGTCTGTGGCCCAAGTTCACGTGTGTGAGCTAATAGCCATGTGGGCCTCACAGAGGGCAAGGGCCACTTGTCCTCTCTCACACCTCGACATCTTTCTCCTGGGTGTCCGTTCCAAAGGATCCAAGCCCAACTTCTCCTTTCCTGCCGATGAGCCCTTCTCATCAGACAGATGTTGGGCACAGAGGCACAGACCACCTGGAAGCAGAATCCTACCCCGCCCACAGGTGTATGCGCCCATCCTGAGCACCACTGCTTTAAGGGTACTTCCTGCATAGGCATTCCTGTGTTCAACACCCAGCTTCGACTCCTAACTCCAGTGTCCTACTAAAGCAGATCCTAGGAGGCAGCGGGGATGGCAGTTTGTGAGTGAATGACATGTGAATGAGTGATGGTATGTGAGTGAATAGCATGTGTGTGAGTAGGTGACATGTGTAAATGAGTTTTGAGGTGGGGTGGGAATGAGTAGCCTGTGTGAGTGAGTGGCATGTATCTGTGAGTGAATGGTGTCTGTGAGTTGGTGACAGTGTGTGTGAGTGGGTGACATGTGAGAGGCATGTATGAGTGGGGTTTGTGAGTAGTGTGTATTAAGCATGTGAGTGGTGTGTGTGTTCGTGACACTGTGTGAGTGGTTTGTGTGAATGGGATGCCTAACTGAGTGGCTTTGAGGGACTGACGGGCATATATGTGACTGATATGTGCGAGTGAGTGATGGTATGTAATTGGTTTATGTGTAAGTGATAGGAATATGAGTGGCATGTGAGCAACATGTTTGATGGTGTGTGAGAGTGTGAGTGGATGGCATGTGTGTGGGTGGCGTATGAGGGTCTGAGTGCTGGGTGTGAGTAGCTTTGGGAGACTGGCATGTGTGTGTAAGTAGTGTGCTGATGGGCTGCAGTTGCTGTCACACATACGTATGGCTTGGACAATAGAAGCTCATTTTTCATGTGTCTGGCAGGCTGAGGTCAGGGGCTGGTTTCCCTTGGGATACCCTCCCTGGCTGTGACAGTGCCCTCCTAAGGGTTCTTCTGGGGTCTGTCCGGTGCATGGGAAGTCCTGGCCTCTTTGAGTGTCCATGCGTCCTCCTCTGGTAAGTACCCCAGAGAGCTGGATTAGGGGCTGCCACCAAGACTTCAGTGTGACCACGGGTCCAGACTCCTCTCCACACTCAGCCACAGTCTGAGGGGCCAGGGCTTTCTTATATGGTCTTGGGTCTACAGTGGAGCCCAGGATGGAACTTGGAGATTTTACACAAGGGAATTGGGGGGCACTTGGAGTGTCCTACCCAGCAGGCCAAACCCCAACCCCTGTGACCTGACTACCAGAGAGAGCAGCCCTGGGCTGCTGGGGACTCCGGAGAGGCACCTGTCATGGGCTGCCTCTGCTACTTCCTGTGAACAGCACAGCTGAGTCCCAGCAGGAGCTCCAGTTCTTCCTGTTTCAACTGTGATGGAGAGTTGACAAGTCATGCTGCTGGGGATAGAGACAGAGATGGGAAAACATAGCTTCTGATAGGGTCTCAAGATGACCTGGCAGATTATACTGGAGAAATTCAGTAGGATGCTTTTTCTACAAGGAGTTTGGGGTGTGTTTGTGCATGCATGTAAGTAGCCCTTTGAGGACTGAGGCAAGCGAGGGAATGGCTGTCACGATTTGACCTCACCTAGCTCCCCTGCCCTGGAGCCTGTTCATAGCCTGTTTACCTACTCCTTGTGAGCAGCTCAGAGGCCAACTGGCAGAGTGGAAAAGGCTGGAGGCATTGGGGCGGTGTTGGTGAGGGGCGGGAGGTGCATAGGAGGCACAGCAGGAGCTCACAAGGGCTGTGACTGTGCAGGTACCCTGGCCACAGCAACAGAAAGGAAGAACGTGAGGTCAGGAGTGGCAGGGGCAGGTATGCTCGGTGGTCACCATTCTTGCCCCTTCTTACAGTCTGTCCCATTAGCTCTGACAATGAAAAATGAAAAAGCTCCTTGCCTAAGGCTCACATCTAAGTCATTCTGAAGCCGGTGCGGGCTTGCAAGGTGCATGTGGGAACCTGGGGGCTCACACCCAGGCAGGTAGAGTGAGCCCTGGGGATTTCCACACAGGCTTGATTCTGGGCAACGAGGGTGGGAAGTGAGGAGGGATGGCAAGCCCTACATTAGCATGCTAGCGTGATGGTTGGTGTACTGGGCTTGGGGAACTGTGAACTTGCTTGGATCTTGGGTGGGTGGAGGGGTAGGGTCACAGGCCAACATGTGTGCCAGGAGCTTGGGTCCCTGGTGGGCAGGTAGAGCTCCAGGCCTGCATGCCACCTCATTAGAAGGTGGACTTGGGAAGACTGGACTGGGGAACTTACACGCTCCTGGGCGTAAGGGAAGGGGGTATGGGGATGTGTGGGAGTATGTTGCAGGTGAGAAGCGACTTCTGGGAGACTTTGACCAACAAGACCACTGTACTTGCAGGTAAATGAGGGGGCTAAGACTGAGCAGTTTGGAGGAGGGAAGCTGAAGGACCTTTCTGGGTCAGACCAATGTAGCTGCCCATGATGCTAGTCGGCATTGACCATCACCACCAATCACTACCCACCAGCACACACTAAAGCTAGGGCTAGGGGCCAACCTGGCATTGCCAAATTAGATTCTGTGGGAAATATGTGGACTCACCCCTGTTGAACTGCAATATCCACTGGTTTGCTCAACAGCTGAGGATGGTGAAAGGTTTAGCTTGGCATGACCATGGGACCCCAAGATACTCACGGGTACTGGGCCAAGTTGATCCAGGATGTAGCACCTATAGGCACACCCGAGAATAGGGTATGGGGCACACTGGGCTACAACATCCACCAGCTCACACAAAGGCCAAGACAGACAAGGGACCTCCACTTGTCAGCAAGTGTGTGGGTTGGCTCTGATGGGGGTGGACTTGGCAGAGCAGGGCCAAACCTTAGCACACTGGCATGTGTGGGAACCCACCCACCCTCCAGGGCAAACACAAGCTTGCCTTGAAAGCAAGACAGGATCTCCTGCAGGGTCCCTCACATCAGGCAAGCAGAGACCTTGCAGAGGGACCGTCCCGGGGCTACTCTTAGACTTCATCCCCACCCTGGGGTCGGACACCGGGAGGAAGTGTTTCTGAATTAGAAAGAAAATTTTGCAGGAGATGTAAGTCCGGGAAAGTTCTAGAAGGGACTGCCAGGGCCCGGCGCGGTGGCGCAAGTGGTTAAAGGTCCTCACCTTGCACGCCCAGGATCCCATATGGGTGCCAGTTCTAATCCCGGCAGCCCCGCTTCCCTTCCAGTTCCCTGCCTGTGGCCCGGGAAAGCAGTCTAGGATGGCCCAAGGCTTTGGGACCCTGCACCCGTGTGGGAGACCCGGAAGAGGCTCCTGGCTTCGGATCGGCATAGTATCGGTCGTTGCGGCTCTCTTGGGGAGTGAATCATCGGACGGAAGATCTTCCTCTGTCTCTCCTCTCTGTATATCTGCCTTTCCAATAAAAAAAATAATAATAAAAAATAAATCTTTTAAAAATAAAAAGGGACTGCCAGATCAAATGGGAGTGGGGTGGGGTGTGACCTGCTCAAAGGAAGAAACTGCCAGGTATTTGACTTGTGTTGTATTTCCTGGGAAGAGACAGGGCAGGATGGTCAGGTGCCTTCCTAGGAGGTGACAATGGCCAGGGATATTTCTGGGCTCTTGGGTGTCTGATATTCCACTTGAAGGCTTTTGTGATTTTAGCTGTGTAAACCCCCTTGAACTCCGCAGATCTTCAGTAAGGTCTGCTATACATACACACCCATACACACTGTCACTCTCTCTTCCCTATCTGCAGAATGGATCTATATGGCTCTAGGGTGGGATGATCTGTGTATAGTGCACGTGAGCCCAGAGCATGGTTGCCAGCTCTCTGACCAAGAGCCAGCAGAGCAGCAGCTATCTGCATGGCATGGTTGTGAGGAGCGTCATCCTCACCAGCTCTGTCTTTGCAGGGAGCCCCTCTTCCGCCAACTCTGTGCCCTTCACTGGCTTCTGGAGGCCCTGACCATCGACCACACCCACCACACCATGAAGCCTGTGATCACCTGCTGGAATCTCAAGTAAGCCTCCACCGTTCCACGCGTGCGCCGTGTCCTGGGTGCAGCAGCAGAGGACAGGGAGAGGGGGGTTGCTCCTATGAGCTCTTTCCTGGTGCTGTTCCTGCTGGGTGCGTGACTCCAGGGGTCCTTCCACATCCCCTCTGGGATCCAAGCAAAGGTGAACTGGAGTCGGCTCACACAGACCTGCGAGTCAGTGGCGTGTGTCTGCTTCCAGCAGCTCTTGTCAAGTCCACATTCGGAGTCATGGCAGCATGACTTGAAGTCAGTTGGATGCTATAAGGGTCTTTAGATCCCAGAAATGGGCCACATGGATGCACAGTAACATGGCTGTTCAGCTCTCTTCTTGTGCCGTGTCTTCCCCAACACAGCTCTTGGCTTGCTCTTCTTCCTCCTTTTTCTTCTTTTCTTCTTCTCTTTCTCTCCAGTGCGGTTTTCCCTCTTTCCTTTAGAGTTATTCTTATTAGGGTGAGGGGGTTGTTTGGGGTTTTATTGCAAGAGGATATCTTTATAAACTCACAGAGGAAAGAGGAGGTTGGATAATGGCCACCCAAGCACAGCGCGGTAACTGTGGCTCACGATGATGTTGTAAACTACTCTATTTGAGGACAGGAACAGAGGAGCTGGAAGGCTCCAGATACAAAGCAAAGCCAAGGGAATACAAAGGCCTGGTATGAGTGGTTTAAACTGTACAGATGTGTTGGAAATTTAAACATGTGCAAGTGTTACGTGTTAGCCATTTTAAAGATTTATTTTTTATTATTTTTTTCATTGGAAAGGCAGATATACAGAGAGGAGAGACAGAGAGGAAGATCTTCCGTCCGATGATTCACTCCCCAAGTGAGCGCAACGGGCCGATACTATGCCAATCCAATCCGAAGTCAGGATCCTCTTCCGGGTCTCCCACGCGGGTGCAGGTTCCCAAAGCTTTGGGCCGTCCTAGACTGCTTTCCCAGGCCACAGGCAGTGAGCTGGAAGGGAAGCGGGGCTGCCGGGATTAGAACCGGCGCCCATATGGGATCCCGGGCATGCAAGGCGAGGACCTTTAACCACTTGCGCCACCATGCCGGGCCCGTGTTAGCCATTTTAAATAGGGGTGAGTTAGTGGGGTGCAAGAAACTTGGGACGTTTGCATCTCATATAGAGTCCCATTTCCTCCACTTCCAATCCAGCTTCTAGCTAATGCCCTCTGGGAGCCAGTGGGTGATGATGGCCTCCTGCCAACCCATATGAAACCCAGATGGTATTCTGCTCTCTTGGCCTCAGCCAAGCACGATTTACTTGGCAAATGAAGCTATCTGCCTACCTACCTTCTCTCTGTCCCTCTCCCTCCAGCTCCCTCTCTCCCCCCTTCCCCTGCCTCTTTCCCTAGTCTAACAATTTCCCTCTGTCTCTCTCCCTCAACCCCTCCCCTGCCTCTTTCTCCCTCTGCCTCTCCCTGTATCTCCTCCTCCCTCCCCTCCTTCTCTCCCTCACCTTTCTCTCCTCCTTCCTCTCCTCCCTCCCCTCCCTCCCTTACTGCCTTTCTCTCCCTCTCTCTTTCTCTGCCTCTCTCTCTCCCCTTCCCTTCTCTCTGCCACTATTTCTCTGTCCCACTCTGTCACCCTTGCTTGTACTCCCTCTCGCTCTCCCCTTCCAACCTTCCTCATCCTTTCCTGCCCTTCTCCATCCCTCTCCCCGTTCCCTCCTCCTCTGCCTCTGTGTCTCACTGTTGCCCCTCTTTCCTCCCCCTTTCTCTGTTGCTCTTTCAAGATAAATAAAAAATTTTGAAAAGCAAAACTCAAAAACACTTTTTTTAAGTTCATGGAAATGCAAAAGATAACATTATCTTGGTACCAAAAAAAAAAATCCTGAAATCCATGCATATGAAAGAGCTTTAAAAGATTCATGAGAAATAAACTATGAAAAATACAGTGCAGGGCCCAGTGCAGTGGCTCAATTAGCTAATTCTCCTCTCGTTAAATACTGAGATCCCAGCTAGTCTACTCTGGATCCAGCTCCATTTGTGACCTGAGAAGGCAGTGGAAGATGGTCCAAAGCCTTGGGACTCTGCATCCATGTGGGAGACACAGAAGAGGCTCCTGGCTTCAGATTGGCTCAGCTCCGGCCATTGCAGCCATCTGGGGAGTGAAACAACAGATTTTTCTACCTCTCCTTCAGTCTGCAAATCTAGTTTTTTAATAATAAATAAATAAATCTTAAAAAAACCACACACCGTGCATAGATCTCAAAAAAAGTGTACACTATATAGTTTTTATTTCATTTTCCATGAACTTTCTGGAGTGTGCTCAGATTTTGGTGACTCTCCACTTGAATTCAAGAAAATACTCAGCCCTCAGGTCCCTGGAGCAGCTGGGTCCACATCATGTTGTCTGAAGCCCAGAAAAGGAGGAGGAGGTGACCCCTCCAGAGGGAACGGCTGAGCCAAAAGCGCTGGAGCCAGTTACAGGAACTACGTTGTGCACAGAGCAAGACCCTGAGGCTTTAGAAAGAGTCGGATTGTAGGTGTGAATGAAGCCCAAAGGGAGGCAAAGCCTTCGGCCTCCAGGAATTGGATTTGTGCGATGGAAATTACATGCAGACTTAGACATCTGAGTCCTCCGTCTAGGATGCTGACACTCATCCACCACCCTCAGGTACACTGACACCTGCATCTTCTCAGCCCTGCCACATCCCAGCATCCCAGGCGAGGTCGTCCTCCTTTGGCTGCTGAAATCCTGAGGCTTAACTAACTCCTGTCCCCTGGGCACATCTGCCACCCATTGCCTCAAGTACATCTTTTTACACCAGGGTCCAAATAAACTTCAAATACAACCAAGAACATGGATCACACAGTTAACAACAAATCGGGTGACTTCACTTGAGTCGGTGTTTGGGGTTAGAATGAATCTAAAAGTAGCTTCCTTTCCTAGAGTGTCTTACCAAACTTACATTTTTAAGCAGCAGAAATTATTTTTTCTTTGCATGTAAATCCCAGGAGTGTTTGGAACTGGTGCAGGAAGAAAAAGACTGGAGGTGGGGAGGGCTAGGAGAGCCCTCCACTTATTCCCACCCCTGCTGTAGCACCCAGTCATTTCCAGACTATCTCTGTGACTTCCCAGCATTTCTTTGAAAACCATAGGCTTAAAACATTTCTCATGAATCATTTATTGTTTCTTAAAACAGAGCCACTCAAGTTGTAAGTGAATACAGTGTATTTCTTGCAGAAGTTTTTCTGAAAAATCGCAATGCTTAAAAGCCTTTACTCCTCTCAAGGACCCCCCAAAATTCCCTTCTAAGAAAAAAAAAATCCTTAAATGCCTTAAGTGCCTATGAGTCTTTCCAAATTTTCCTACTGTATTTCTTTAATAAAAATATTCAGTTAGACCTGGGGTATGTTTTTTTTTTTTTTTTTTAATTTGGGTTATGTATTTGAAAGGCAGAGTTACAAAGAGGAAGATCTTCCATCCACTGGCTAGCTCACCAAATGGCCTCAACAGCTGGGCCTGGGCACGCCAAAGCCAAGAGCCTGAAACTCCATTCAAGTCTCCCACATGGGTGACAAGGACCCAAATGTTCAGGCCCTCTTCTTCACTTTTCCAGGTACATTAGCCAGGAGCTGAATTGGAAGTGGAGCAACCAGGACTTGAACCAGCACTGATAGAAAATAGAGCCATTGCGGGTGATAACTTAACCCGGGATGCCACAATGCCAGTCCCAGCATGGGTGGGTGGGTGGGTGTGTGTGTGTGTGTGTTTGGTTTTTGTGATTTTGTTTGTTTGTTTGTTTTTCAAGTAAGAATGAGATAATCAAGAAATGCTTCATTCACGACATACTGAGTCTCTGATCCCTTCTCACACGCCCTCCTGCCTCCACATGGACTGACTCCACACTGTGTTACATACAGCAAGACCACTCCCTCCCCTCGCCGCAGCCAAAATTTAGTTTAATTTTTTTTTTAAGATTTTTATTTTTATTGGAAAGGCAGATGTACAGAGAGGAGAGACAGAGAGGAAGATCTTCCGTCCAATGGCTCACACCCCAAGCAGCCCAATGGCTGGAGCTGAGCCAATCTAAAGCCAGGAGCCTCTTCTGGGTCTCCCATGTGCCCATATGGGATCCCAGTGCGTTCAAGGCAAGGACTTTAACCACTACGCTATCGCACCGGGCCCCCAAAATTTAGTTTTAAGATTTATTTATTTTTATTGAAAAGCCAGATTTACAGAGAAAAGGAGAGACAGAAGAAATTTCTAAGTGGCCACAATGGCCAGAGCTGAACTGATCTGAAGCCAGGAGCCCAGAGCCTCCCCCTGCTCTCCCACATGGGTTCAGGGTCCCAAGGTTTTGGGCCGTCTTCCTACTACTTTCCTAGGCCACAAACAGGGAGCTGGAAGTGGAACATCCGGGACACAAACTGGTGCCCCTATGGGTTCCCAGCACATGCAAGGCAAAGATTTACCACTGAGCCATCCTACCAGACTCTAATTTTTAATTTTTTAAATCATAGCACCAGAACTAAAATGCATCATTCTGGGTTTTTTGTTTAGTTTTTATTTTTTTTTCTTAAAGTTTTATCATACTGAGGAGGAAAAATGAACCATTTGTATCTATTCAGGTTGAAATCAGAAATATTCTCAGCAGCTTGACCTGATGCATAGCATGTCAGCTGTGCCCTGCAGTGCTGGGATTCTGTATGGTGCCGGTTCAAGACCCAGGGCTCCACTTGTGATCCAGCTTCCTGATGATGTGCCTGGAAAAGCATCAGGAGATGGCCCAAATGCTTAGGCCTTCTGCACTCCTGTGGGAAATCTGGAAGAAGCTCCAGGGTTCTGGCTTTAACCTGGCACAGCCCTGGCCATTGTAGCCATCTGAGGGGGGATGAACCAGTGAATGGAAAATCTGTCATCTGTCTCTCCCCTCCCTCCTCCTTCTCCCTCCTCCCCTCTCCCTCCCCCTTCCCCTCCCCCTCCCCTCCTCTCTCCCCTCCTCTCCTCTGCCTACCCATCTCGGTGTGTGTGTCCGTG